TGTGCGTGTGCGTGAGCGTGTGCGTGTGCGTGTGCGTGTGCGTGTGCGTGTGCGTGTGCGCGTGCGCGTGCGCGTGCGCGTGCGTGTGTGTGTGTGTGTGCGTGTGCCGTGTGTGTTTGTTTGTGTGTGTGCGTGTGCGTGTTGCGTGTGGCATGTGGCGTGTGCGGCGTGTGTGGCGTGTGTGGCATGTGTGGCGTGTGTGGCGTGTGTGGCGTGTGTGTGTTGTCTGTGTTGTGTGTTGTGTGTTGTGTGTGTGCGTGTGTGCGTGTGTGCGTGTGTCCGTGTGTGCGCGTGTGCGCGTGTGCGTATGCGTGTGCGTGTGCGTGTGGCGGTGTGCGTGTGCGTGTGCGTGTGTGTGTGTGTGCGCGTGCCTGTGTGTGTGTGCGTGTGAGTGTGTGTGTGTGTGTGTGTGCGTGTGTGTGTGTGTGTGCGCGTGAGTGCGCGGGTGCGCGCGCGGAGGGGTGCTTGCGGCGACCTGCGGAGGGCGGGCGGCGGCGCCTTTGGGTCGCGCGCGTCGACCAGCACGGAGCACGCCGCAGGGTTTAAACGCGCCGCGGGCGGCGGCGCCGCGGCCCGCGCCCTTCGCTGGCATGGCGGCGGCGCCCCGAACGCCTGGCGCAGGGCGGGCGGCACCTTGGGCCAGACCGCTGCAATCGACGCTGCGCCGCCGTCTGCGGGCGCCGCGCTGCTGTCGGCCGGGGCCGACGGGCGCTGTGTTGTGGCGCGCGGCTCCGGGCGTTTTCGAGCGGCCGCCGTCGGGCGGGCTCGGGCGGGCCGGCGCGGGCGGCCCCGGGCGCCCGCCGACATCGGCCTCCGTGGCCGCCCCGCGGCGGTCGACCCCTGCTGCTCCAGACCTGCCGCCCTGCGGCCCGCCTCTCTCCGCTGCCCCCCCTGCTCGCTGCACGGGCGCCGCGCGGCTGTCGGGCGGGCTCGGGAAAGGCCGCCGCCGGCCGAGGCTGCGAGAGCTGCCGCGGCCGCGGGGCTGGCCGCCGCCACCGACGGCGGCGGCGGCGGCCTGGAGAGGCCCCCCCAATCGACGGGGAAGTCCAAAGGGCGCGCGCGGGCCTCGGCGGCGCACGCGAAGACCCACGGGTCGGTCTCTCTCTCCACGCGGGGCATCCGTTCAGAGAATCCGCCCAGCCCACTCCGCCGGGTGCGACGGAGCGGGTGGAGCGCGCCTGGATGGGCGCGCGCAGTCTCGCACGTTCGACGGCGATGGCCCCCTTCCGAGTCCACGGGTAGAGGGGGGGGGCAAGTGTCAGGAACGGTTCGAAGCCGTCGCCCTCGCGATCCATTTTGCTCTCTCCTCTCCTTTCAGTGGCGGCAATGGTCGACCGCGCGCGCGCCGCCCCCTTTGCTTATGCACCAAGTGCCAGGCATATTGTTTGTTTTGCGGGCGTCGCCCCCGCTTCGCCGGGAGCCTCTCGGAGCGCACGGTGAGTTCATTCGGCGCGCCAATCTGCAGAATCGACCCCCAATGCATCCTACTCCAAAGATTCTGCTCGGCCCGCTGGTAGCGCGCAAACACCTATCCCAAGGAGAACTGGATGGCTGCGAAACTTTAAATTGCTAGGAACACCAGGCGAATCAACGACGCCGCCCCCGCGCGCCGGTCTGTCACGGCGCAACTCAAACCCGCCCGTCTTCGCGCCCAGGCCCGCGAGCGCCGTCGACAGGAACGGCGCGCTCGCATTCCACCTGACACCACGCCCTCGCCCGCCGTTCCCCCCCCCCAGCCTGCCGCCGCCATGCATTTTCAAGCCCGAGTGCGACGGGAAGGGGGCGGGGTGGGTGCGAGGATGAACATGGGGAAATGGGTGGCGGCTAATGCACTGGCGCAGATAGCGTGGTCGGAGGCACGTCTGGACCCGCCTTGCGGCCGTCTTCCTTGGCACGGGGCCGACGATGGATCCTCGGCCCCGCCCCGCTCTTATTGACTGCGTGGTCGACTGGTTGATCGGCAGGCGGGCGGGAGAGGGCAATCCCCGCGGCCCCTTTAATCATGGAATCTGCGAGGGGCGCGAGGCCCACGGTGGCCCTCGGTGGCGAAGCCTGCGGTAGTCCTCGCCCAGGGGGGGCGCGAGGAAAGGGGGCGTCGCCGTTGTGAGAAATCTCCGCGGCTACCTCGCTTCCTAAAATGGGACCCCCGACCGGAGGAAACCCTTCGAGGAAAGATTTGCCCATCCCCCCTCCCCCCTCCCCCTGGACCTGGACGGGGGTGGTCGCGGGTAGTTGGAGCGTCCAAAAAGGCCCAAGACGGCTCCAAGAACCCCTCGGAAAGCCTAAGATGACCTCCAAGATGGCTCAAGAGAGCGCAAGATGCCTCAAAATGGTTTTCAAGATGTTCCAAGAAGCCCCAAGAACGCTTCAAGACTGCTCCCACATGCCTCCAAGACCTCCAATGAGTTCCGCAAGATGCCCCAACCCCTTCGAAAACCTAAGGCAAATCAATGACTTGTGCGTTCTCGCCGATTCGCTTCCGATGGCTATCCGAGGCCTCACGATGGCCCCAGTGTGGCCCGAAGAGGCCCCCGGAGAGGCCCGAGAGAGCCCCAAGAAGGCCCGAAGAGCGCCCAAAGAGCGCCCGGAGAGCGTCCCAAGAAGGGGTCCAGGAAGCGATTGCTGGGGCTCCCGAGGGGTGAGGCTGATTGGAGCTCCCCTCTTGTTTGATCGATGTCCTCCAACATGGCCCCAGGAGTGCCCCTAAAGCTCCCAAGAGCGCCTCAAGCTGGCCCCAAGAGGCGCCCAGGCAGCCCCAAGAGGCGCTCCAGAGGCCTCCAAGAGGCTCCCGAGAGGCCACCAAGAGGCCTCAAGATGATCTCCGAGGCACCCAAGACGCTCTCGAAGAAGCCACTGGGCCCGCCAAGAGGCGCCTTGGATGCCACAAGAGGCCTCCGAAAAACTTCCAAGGGACATCCGAAGAGACTCCGAAATGCATCGATGAGGCCTCTGGCCCTTCTGCTCGTCCTCCCCTCCTCCTCGTCCGCCTCCTCCTCCTCCTCCTCCTCCTCCTCGTCCCTCCTCCCCCTCCCCCAACTCCTCCTGCTCCTCCGATTCCTCCTCCTCCATCCTCCCCTGTTGGGGCATGACGTCATCCCCCGTCCTTTGTTTCTCTGTGCTCCCACACTCCCCTGATCAAAGGAACTCCTCTGGGCATCGTTGCTGGAAAGCTAACCGACAAAGAGTGTTTTTTTTAGGATGGGTTTTCTTCGCTAGTGTGGTTTTTTTAGGATGGGCTGGTAGTGATTCGCGAAGTGTCAACAATTTGAACTTGGCGTTGCCTTGTGCTGGCGCGTGGTGAATGCCGATTGCCCTCGTAGACATTCGCACGCTCGTCCCAGCGCTGAAGCAGGAGGGGAGGGGGGCGCATCCGCCCCCCGTGACATTGGCAGCACCCTGGGGCGGGCAGAACGACGCGGCAGAACTTCGCGGCAGACGAGCAGGGCAAACGACCCAACGCCCAATATTTACATGCTCCCGACGTGCACCGCGCGAAGCCAGAGGAATCCACGCCCGGAAGGAACGTGTTGTCGGAGGCAGGTCGCGGAGTGAAAGCCCTGTTGCGACAGATGAAGTACATATTGCTGAATTGCGATGCGCCTAAGTGTTTACAGAATTGCTAAAGGGTATAGTATGTAACATTTTGCTATCTTTAAGTCGGGCCTGTCCCCCTACAGGGGGATTTTCGACGAACAAACAGACCCCACAAATAATCCAAACATACTCCAAAAATAGTCTGTGGACTATGTGTTGATAATTCTTTCACCTTTTTGGAATATTTCTGGGGTATGTCTTATTTTTCGTCGAAAATCCCACTGTAGGGAGACACGCCCGACATAATGCTATATCCCCCTACCCCCCCACCCCCGAGGCCAAGCCGCTCCTGTCGACCCAACGATGGGGGACCCTTCTGGACTTCAGGAACCTGCAGACGTTTATGGAAAATCGGTCAGTTTTGCCTCCTGGGTTTCTTGGGAGCTCAAAAAGGGCCTCGAGATGTCTCAAGATGGCCTCGAAAGCCGCCAAGACTGCCACAAAACGCCCAAGACGGCCCCAAGAGGGTCCATGAGGCTCCCAAAAACAGCCCAGAGCCCCGAGAGGACCCCCAAGAGCGCCTCCAGAAACCCAAATCATAGATGATCCATTTGATGTTAACAAGATTTTAGAATCCTCGCCTTGTCTGCTCTCAGGGGGCCATGACGGCCCAAGAAGCCTCCAAGACGGGCCGAAGACGGCCCAAGAGACCCTAAAGGAGGCCCAAAGACGGCCCAAGAAAGCCCAGATCGCAGCGAAACCCCCAGCACGAGCCCAAAGAACCCGGAGTCCGATGAAGCCCCCACAATCGCTCCACGACGGCACAAGTGGCTCCCGGGATGGCCTCCTGTAGCCTCAAGGGCCCCCGAGAAGCCCCCGAAGCGCCCCCCAGGGACTCAAAAAGCGCCCCAAGACAGCCAGAGACGCTCCCAACAGGCCACTAAAGAGTCCCCAAGAGGCCCCCCATATGTATACAAGAAACATCCGAGTACAAAACTCCAACAACGTCCCAAATGTCCGTACTCTCCGCGATCCGGACGTGCACCCCGCGAAGCGAGAGGAATAAGCTATTAAACCAAAGCGGAACGAAGCCTAGCATAGCATAGCATAAGGCTGTTATCCGGGAGAAACCGACATCCTCTACAATAGTCCAGGCGAGGGGCACTGCCCAGATGAATCGCAGGGCGCCCATAGAGCGTCACACCCCGAGTACATGTCCTGTTGTAGACAACAGGGGTCATCCTGGGCACATTCGAATTATCGAGATTATCAATTGTCATGCCCTCGCTTATGGGCTCAATCTCAGATGTAGCGCGCGTGGCGTGGCCGCTGAACTTGACAAGCGCCAACAGACCTCAGGCAAACCAAGGTGAGGTCGTATTCCACAGTAGCACGTATTTAGCACATACTCGCGTTGAGAGGCCAACTGCCACGAAGAACAAAAACAGCTGCTCGAGCAGCCGAAATTATAAAGAGAAAGTGTGCAGCGAACCCTTGTCGTCTCTACAGTGCTCCTCCTGAGACATCGCCTCCTCGAAATCGTCACCGTCGCCCTCACCGTCGCCCGCGTTCATCTTGTTCCTTTGACGGGCATCGTAGACAAACAATCACTTCGTGGGAAATTACTCAAGCCAATCAGCCGGAAGAGACCAATTCACTGCAACTAGATACTTCCATTCCCTACCCTTTGTCCCCGTCCCACAAGACAGATACTGCCTGACTAATGTTTGCTCGTTTTCCTTATAAGCAGAGGCGCCAGGTCGGAGGCCTTCCAAGCGAGCTCAAGCAATTGGAGTCGGAACATCGCGCCGCATCGGCGACGCCGGCGATGCATCGGCGCTGTCGGCGTGGAAAAGGATCGGGCTCCACATCGAGCCGCATCGCCGAATCACAAGCTATGCGGCGCGATCCTGGCACTCCATTTGCTCAGACCCCACCTACGACACCTGGGCAACTGCCCGGACAGCCGATATCTTGGCTTTCCTCCGTGCGGTCGTCCGACGTCCTGACCCTTTTCCCCAGGGCCCGATTTTTATGCTGAGCCGTTTTGTTGACGACCTTTGCGCCCGGCATGGGCCACCCATCTGGGCCGAAAACTGCGAAACTAATGGGTCTTGTGTTCGCAGAAGGGTTGTCAGCTACACAACAGAGTGGCTCTACACCTTCGAACAAACTGTTTCCTAGCGCCGCCACACGCGCACATGCCGATTCACAGCGTGTCGGACTGTCCGCAACCATACCGCCCACCTTTTTGCAACGCAGTCGCGACAAGCGGAACACCGCAAGTATACTTACTACACCGTGCAATTTCATCGGTTCGTATACGCCCACCACGAGTATGTGAAATATCCGTTCTGCGTCGAAGAGCGACACATCCCGCGGTGTACCGCATGGCGCCCATAACGGACAAACTCAACCATGCACGCGTCGCCCACGCAAAACCGAGCAAGTTGCGAGGCCGTCTCAAGAGAAACTTGGCCCAAACCGAACGAAACCAACAAACATTCGGAGATCTTAAGCGAAGCCGAGCCCAAACCAAGGCCAAACCGAGCAAACGTCAAAGACGTCTCATGCGAAACCGGGGCAAGACCATACCAGGGGCCGAACGAGGCATATTTTGAGGACGCCGCAGGTGGGGCGCGCGGCCAAACCTTGCCAAGCAGAGACCCCCCAAGGAGCCACGACGATTTCAAAATGGAAAAATGTCCAACATGTTGCTTTCCTCGCGCTAGACCGCGGGAAATCATCATGGAACGCCCGCGCGCCATCGAATCGCCGCGCGACGCCCGCCCCCACCATTGAATCGCGCCGGGCGAGCCGCGGAGGCGCGACCAACGCGGCCCCCGAACCAGGCCGCCTCGTGAGCGCCATGGAACTCATCGCCGCGATGATGCTTCATTCCGCAATCGTCGGGCATAGCGTCCGCGCGAACTTGGGCGCGAGCCGCAGTCGAAGCGCAGGCGGAATCGGCGCGCGCGCGCGCAAAAGTCGAAAAACCAGGCGCTGCCCCGGCCGCGCGGCCGATAGTTTGCGCGGGAGAAACACCTCCCAAGCTGATTTATGATGGAACGCGCCTGCGCGGGGCCGACGGACCCCAAAAAAGGGCCACTTAGGAAACCCCGCGCGAAGAAGAAACGCTCGAGCGCGAGCGCCACGTGGGGAATTGGCGGGACGCCGGAGGCGGTTGGGTCTCATGCCCGCGCAGGTTGAGCAAACTCCGGTTCTGGGGAGTAGCGCTCGTGGGGCCCACCGCGGGCGCGGGGGCCGCTGGCGCAGACTCTGCCGCAGCCGCGGCGAGGCCCCGGCGCTCTCCCCTGGGGGCCGCGGCGCGCGGCTGCGCTGGTTCGCGGAGAAGAAGGGCCTGACGGCAAACGTCGGCTTCGAAACCTCAACGGCCGGCCGCAGGCGCGGCGGCACAATCGCGAGCCCGCCGCGCGAGGCAGCGCAGCCCGCCGCGAGGGCATCCTCTCCAACCGAGCGGGGGTCCCTAGGGCGAAATCGTGTTGCCGAAATTGTGGGCGAAATCGCGGGCGCAGAATCGCAGGCCTACCCGGTGCGCCAGCGTGCCAAGCAGGCGCGCCCGCGCAACATCAGCGACGTTTAAAGAAAAGAGGAGGAAGCGGCAGCAGCGGCAGGACAGCAGCAGCGGGAAAAGGAAAAAATGTGAAGCAGCAGCAGCAGGAGAGGAGGAAATGAGGAGTCGTCGAAATTGGCCCGCCCATTCGTCGCGCGCCCCACAGCGCGCTGGACATGCTCCTCGGGGGAGACTCGCCGGCCCCACGGGCCAGAGGCGCGCGAAGATCTCCGGCGACTGCCTCGCAGCAGTTCTACTCCGCGCGCGCGGGGCGGCCCAGAGGGGCACCCGGATGCAAAGTGCCCCGGCCAGGTCGGGCCAGAGATGGTTCTTCTCCTGGGCGCGGCTTTCAGGCGCCCCCAAGCGATGCAAGAGGGCCCCAAGAGGCGCCCGAGACGGTCCAAGAGGGCTCCGAGTCGTCGAACGTTCGGCCCGCGACACTCACGATGGCTTATTCCACACGGGTTACGACGCTTGCAAGACCCCCGAAGAGGCCGCCGCGAGCTGAAACGATACCCGAAAACGCGATTCTGAACTTTGAAGAAAATACCAGCAAAGAGACAAGGCGGAAACAGACCAGGGGGCGACACCGCTCGAATGACGCATCGAAGCGAGATTGCGCACAAGCCGCACGCCGAATGCCCAATGTCGGGGCGGGTCGGCGACGCAAGAAATTCTGAACAAAGAAAAACCGAAAAGCTTGGAAATCTAACATTTTTTGCTTCGGAAAACAAAAAAAAAAACAGAATCGTTGCACCAATCCACTTGGGGGGCGCAGCTTCATGACAACCCAAGTCAAACAAGGCAAAATTCTGGTACGTCTCAAGCAGAATCACACAAAGCAAGCTACATCATGGCGAAGGACCCAACCATATGCAATTGTGGGTACCGCAATTGTGAATATCTTCTTCGGTGAAGCTCCCTATGGGGCCACGGAGCGCAGCACCGGGTGGGGGGGAACGCATGCGGGCGGTAGCAGTGGGTCCGCCGGTTGGTTTCCCTATGGGGCCACGAAACGATGTACTGGGTGGGGGGGGCGCATGCGGGCGGTAGCACCGTGGCCTTCGGTGGAGCTCCCTATGGAGCCACGAAACGCAGTACTGGGGGGACGCATGAGGGCGGTAGCTCTGGGGCCGTCGGTGGAGCTCCCGACGGGGCCACAAAACGCTGTACAGGGTGGGGGGGGGCGCGTGCGGGCGGTAGCAGTGGGATCTTCGGTGGAGCTTCCTATGAGGCCGCGAAACGCCGCACTGGGTGGGGGGGACTCACGCGGGCGGTAACACCGGGGCCTTCGGTGGAACTTCCGATGGGGCCACGAAGCGCTGTACTGGGTGGGGGGGACGCATGCGGGCGGTAGCTTGAGCCGTCGGTGGGGCTCCCAATGGTGCCACGAAACGCTGCACCGGGGGGGGGGGGCGCATGCGGGCGGTAGCGGTAGGACCTTCGGTAGGGCTCCCTAGGCCACGAAACGCTGGGTGAGGGGGACGCGTGCGTGTGGTAGCACTGGGGCCGTCGGTGGAGCTCCCTAAGGGGCCACGAAGCGCTGTACTGGGTGGGGGGGACGCAGGCGGGCGGTAGCACTGGGGCCGTCGGTGGAGCTCCCTATGGGGCCACGAAACGCAGTACTGGGTGGGGGGGATGCGGGCTGTAGACTTGGAGCCTTCGGTGGAGCTCCCTATGGGGCCACGAAGCGCTGTACTGGGTGGAGGGAACGCGTCCGGTAGCACTTGGGCCTTCGGTGAAACTCCCTGTGGGGCCACAAAACGTGTGAACGGTGTGCCGAAATGGGTGGGGGGGGCGCACGCGGGCGGTTCCAGTGGGGGCTTCGGTGGAGCTCCCTATGGGACCACAAAACGCTTCACTGGGTGAGCGAAAATGCCAAATTGGGTGTGTGGGACACTGGGGGCTTCAGTGGAGCTCCCTATAGGGCCACGAAGCGCTGTACTGGCTGGATGAAAATGCCAAATTCTGCGCGCGTGTGTGTGCGTGTGTGTGTGTGTGTGTGTATAAGCGTGTGTGTGTGTGTGTGTGTTTCTGTGTCTGTGTGTGTGTCTGTGTGTGTGTGTCTGTGTGTCTGTGTGTGTCAGTGTGTGTGTGTGTCTCTGCGTGTGCGTCTGTGTGTGTGTCTGTGTGTGTCTGTGTGTGTGTCTGTGTGTGTCTGCGTGGGTGTGTCTGTGTGTGTGCGTCTGTGTGTGTCTGCGTGTGTCTGTGTGCGTGTCTGTGTGTCTGCGTGTGTGTCTGTGTGCGTGTCTGTGTTTGTCTGTGTGTGTGTCCGTGTATGTATGTGTGTGTCTGTGTGTGCGTGCCTGTGTGTGTCTGTGTGTTTGTGTGTGTGTGTCTGTGTGTGTGTCTGTTTGTGTGCGTGTCTGTGTGTGTATGTGTGTGCGTCTGTGTCTGTGTGTGGCTGTGTGCGTGTGTGTGTGTGCGTGTGTGTGTGTGTCTGTGTGAGTGTGTGTGCCTGTGTCTGTGCGTGTGTGTCTGTGTGTGTGTCCGTATGTGTGTGAGCCTGTGTGTCTGTGTGCGTGTCTATGTCTGTGTCTGTGTGTGCGTCTGTATGTGAGTCTGTGTGTCTGTGTGTCTGTGTGTGGCATTGTGTGTGTGTCTGTGTGTGTGTCTATGTGTCTGTGTGTGTGTCTGTGTGTGTCTGTGTGTGTGCCTGTGTGTGAGCCTGTGTGTGCGTCTGTATGTGTGCCTGTGTGTGTGTCTGTGTGTGTGGCTGTGTGTGTGTCTCTGTGTGTGTCTGTTTGTGTGTGTCCGCGGCTGTGTTTGTGTCTGTGTGTGTGTCTGTGTGTGTGTCTGTCTGCGTGTGTGCCTGTGTGTGTGTCTGTGTGTGTGTCTGTATGTGTGTCTGTGTGTGTCTGTCTGTGTGTGTGTCTGTGTATGTCTGTGTGT